CCCCCATGCCCCCCACCCCTGCCCCATCCCCCTGCCCACTCAAAAGGCTCGATTACAGTAAACGGTGTTTAACATTCTGCCGCTCCAGCGCCTGAGGTACGACTGGAGCGAAGGAGCCTCCCAGGTGAGAGGGGGCCAGCTGTTTGCTGACTATGCTGCGTGGAGACGGACTCCTACTTCTCCCAGAGAGCGCAATGGTGGCTCAAAGCACCGGCATGACCAAAGGGAGCCGCAGTAACCTGTCCAGCATCTGTCATCCACGCAAGGACATCAGTGAGCCAAAGGCCCAGGCCTCCGCTCCAGCTCCGCCTCCCAGCGGGCTCACACCGTCCTCAGTATGGCGCCTGATGCTGACTGTCCAGATCCTGTTATCCAGATACTGGCAGGGCACTAGGCGCACGTCTGAAGGGCTCTCGCGTGCATGACGTGGACTCACAGGTCGAGTGGAGCAGATGGCAGCGCTCAGACACAGCCAAACATCTGCCAGCAGCACCTCCACACACAAACACACACTCACACACACTCACACACACTCTTAAACAAAGGAACCCGCACCAGAACACGCAAACAGGCGGCCGCCGGACACGAGAGCACAGATGGTGCTTCTCCGATATGCTCACGGATGTGTCACTCACACACAAGCTGATTGACTCACACTTACACAAACGTTCACACAAAACACTCACGGCAGCCCGGCAGTGCAAGCGCTGTCTGTCCGGTACAAGCAGGACTCTGTCACACACGCCTTCACAAGTTACTGTTACATGTCTACATTCAGTCACCTGCAGAGACACGCAGGCTGCACGCTGGCGATCGCACATGCTGAACTACGAGCACGTAAGCGATCTTGGATAAATACGCAGGCGCTTAGTGAGACACACACACACACACACACACACACACACACACAGGCATGCTTGTCCATCAGCTGTCTGAAAAATGAGGGGCTACATACAGAGACCATAACACAGGGATCCAGTGTTCAGGGATACAGTTCTGAGAGGGATGGAATGGACCCTCCCCCCAACAGCCACATCTCTCCAACCCCCCCACAAACATGGATTCTCAGCATTCAAAGGGTCACGAGCCTTGGCTGGCATTCTTTCACTCTGATGGTCCCCAGTGTGGGTCCAGTGGTTCAAAGGGCAAATGCAAATTAACCCTAAGATCAGGCCACATGCACAGAGCTGTCAGCACAAGGAGAGGCTGGAATAGGCTCCTCCCACTGGAGTGTAGCTATACCTAAATGCTAGCTTCTCTTTTCCAGGTTTCTTCCCTTGTCTCCAATTTTGCCTCCTCTGCTCTAGTCCCGCCCCTTCCTTTCACAATTACAGCAGCACCCCCACCCGGGCCCCACATCACATCAGCCCCATTGCCTCTTATGTCCAAATCCCTTTCCTCTTCATGGCACTGTGGTACCGGCTCCATCCCTGTCTGCTTAAGCCCTGTTCCAACACTGCCCCAACTGTTCCAGGCCTGCGCCTCCGCCTGTGTCGAAGCCTGGTAATCTCTCTGACTTCATTAAAGTGCCATTTGCTCAGCTGAGACTCCTGCCATCACCATCACCGGAGGGCGCCGGGGGGGTCTGGGGTGGGCGCATTTACAGAGAGGTTCTGGAGAGGCACAGAAGTCTCTCTCTCTCCTTCTTATCATACTAATAAGGACAATGTAACCTTTCCAGATGAAGAGTAAACACTGCACTCATGAAGCCTCAAAGAGAACCAGCCCTTATCGCGCAAACTCATTCATACTCCCGAACCCCACAGCACCCCCAGCTTTACTTAACAATGTCGAGAGAACAAACTCCAGCAGCAGATGAGAGAGGAATGGAGGGATGACGACAAAGATTCCAGGCAAAGATAAGGGAGAGGAGAAGGAGGAAAGAGAAGAGAGACGCAGAGAGAGAACAGGAGAAAGTGGGGAACCACGGATTAAACGCAATTTACGGTTTATATAAACCAGACCTTAAAGGCAAACTGGCCTCTCTGAATAACTCAGTGGGGGGGGTGTCAGGCTAGAGAACAAACCGTACGTTGTGACGAAAATGTGCAGTAAGGAGTCTCTGTCAGCCTGCATTACTAACATTTATATCTTAGCACACAGCTGGAGGTCAGGACCTGTTTAATTAACTTCAGCACCATGTCTGTGTGTTGGGAGGAGACCGAATTACCCCACAATCTGATAAAGACCTGCTATTCTGACATAGTGGGGGCCACCGTTTCAGTCTTATACTCAATTTTACAAAAATCTGTGACTGCAATCAAAAAACTATAAATGTCAAAAGTCTTGCTAAAAGTTGGTTACTTATGGTTAAGGTTAGTGCTGGGCAGGGGTTAAAGTTGTCATGGCGGGGAATAGAGTTTTTCCCACAGAAATGAATGGAGACTCTTTCACAAACATATGAGTAGAAATGTCTGTGTGTGTATGTGTGTGTGTGTGGATTATCTTTGACCAAATGTTCCTACAATGTGACTGCAGAAAGATCTGTGACTGCAATCAAAAAACTAAAAATGCCAAAAGTGTGTGTGCATGTGCGTGTGGATGTGTGTGTGTGTGTACTGTATGTGTGCGTGTGCGTGTGTATGTGTGTGTGTGTGAGTGTGTGTGTGTGTGTATGTGTGTATGTGCGAACGGGTTTACCTATCCTTATGGGGACATAATGTCTTCATAACGTGATAAATATCCATTTTTTTCCCCTTATGGGGACCGGTTACCTGGTCCCTATAAGGGAAAACTCTATTTTATAAAAATCAGTGACTGCTATGAAAAAACTAAAAATGCAAAAACTCTTGTGGTTACTTATGGTTATGGTTAGGGCAGGGTAGGGGTTAAGGCTGTCATAGTTAGCGTTAGCATTTTTCCCATTGAAATGAATGAGCGGTCCCCATAAGGATATGTTTACCCTACATGTGTGTGTGTGTGTGTGTATGTGTGCATGTGTATGTGTATGCAGCCATGGCCCTTTTGTCTAGTGGAATGTTTGAAAACGTGCGGTTTAGCATAATTCCACAACCCCCCCAGCGGGCAGCCTGTCTTATGTTAGGACACTGTAGATCACCCGGAGACACAGATACAGGCTTTGTGCCACATAATGGCTTTGGGGAAACGACACAGGCAGCTATCAGATAACAGCACGATCGGAATAATTCCTCCGTGTCACAGTTCCATTTAAATGTGACATAAACTATGGAAAATAAAGGTTAAGACAAACATTGCCGCTCGTCAGCCTCACTGACATTAGTGCCACTGAGATAACGATACAGTCGCATTACCCCCTCACTCTTCCTCTCTCCTTACTTCCCTCTTCATTTCCTATCTTTTCAGATATAACTTCAGAAGGCCTGATACATATGGCGGCAACTGTCAGCCTGAATGCAAATGGTTCATAAACGTCTTCACCTAATTCCTTTCCACAGGCTCATTCTTTGGCTTCCAATTACAGTTTTCCCAGACAAGCCTGGATACAGCAGCAGGAACAGATGGGCCTCTCTTTAAACTACAGCCTTCAAGTCAGCAAAAACAACAAATCCCAATACTGTATGAGAAACAGGAGACAATATAAGGGACACTCATGGGAGGAGGCCAGGAGGGAATGAGACCAACCAACAGCAGCTAGATAGGCAGCAGTGAAAAGGATATTTGTTCATTATCTCAGTGTGTGTTGTGGTCCCACTGACCTCCAGCCTATCAGGAACAAACAGGGTGTCATCATGCTTCCCGACCATCGTGAGGTCATTGTGAGGTCACTGTTGGCTTGGCCCAGGTTTGGATAACACCAAACAAACTTTGTAGGCAGGTTCTCTCAGTGGGCTAATATTACACAACCTTGGAAGTTTCTGTGAGCGACAATGAAGGAACCCAGACTATTCTGGCAGCTGGAGTCAGTTCCATGACTGCGAGGAACCACCAAGAGAGCAGCGGCATCTCGTAAACTAAGAGGCATGACACACAACCCAGACATGCACATGTAAAATATACACAGAGGCACACAGTCATACACACACACACACACACACACAACATAAAGCATGTGTGAATGTAGACAGGAGCTGAAGGTCGCTCCCCATGCCGAATCCAGAGCAGAGCCGAACAAGCTGCCCCCCCCCCGGCACCGACCCTGCAGGAGCCACTCGGTCACCCGGCTCTGACCTTCGCGATTATTTACGGAGATGCGGCCATGATCAGCATAGTGCAGTTACAGCCCATCTCCACGAGCTCCTTCTGTCTAATGGGAGCCGTTCATCCAAGAAACAATGGCAGCCATACAGCGAATATCACTGGGCTCAGAATAAAGGAGAGCAAAATGGTTTCTGTCCACGTGCATGTCTGTGTGTGTGGGATGTTAGCTATTATATAAAGGTAAATGCCGTAATTGGATTTCTATTGATTACCCTTGAGAAGCCCTGCAGCTCATCAGCTGTAAGGCCATGTCTTGGAGGAGCGCTGTATAACACTCTCACTTCCGACGTCTACGTTTATCACCGAAGGAGCGGGTCATGTGAACGACAGGGATTCAAAGCACCGCTCAACGCCGGGCTGCCGCTCTAAGCAGCCCCTGCCCCCGCCAAGTCTCACCTCCTCCTCCTCATCAATAAGGTCTTTGTTATGTGGCCCGACACCTCGCACCTCCAGCAGCCACCACTGACACCCAGCACAACTGGCAATGGTCCAAGGATGCAGCAACGTGGCATGGGGAGGAGGCGTAGGGGGACAGCGTGGGGAGGAGGCATAGAGGGACAGCATGGGGGGAGGTGCAGAGGGACAGCATGGAGGGAGGTGCAGAGGGGCAGCATGGAGAGGAGTCATAAGGGAACAGCATGGGAAGGAGCAATAGAGGGACAGCATGGGGGGAGGTCCAGAGGGGCAGCAAGGAGAGGAGGCGTAAAGGGACAGCACGGGGGAGGCATAAGGGGTCAGCGTGGGGAGGATATGTAGAGGGACAGCAGGGTGAGGAGGCATAGAAGGACAGTGTGGTGAAGAGGCATAGGGAGACAGCGTGGGGGGAGGCATAGGGAGACAGTGTGAGGAGGAGGCATAGGGAGACAGCGTGAGGAGGAGGCATAGGGAGGTGGGCCAGCCTCACTTACCTGCCGCGGGGCACGTCCATGTCGTCCTTCCTCCAGCGCACAGTTGGCTGCGGGTCGCCCTGCGCCTGGCACCGGAACTCTACCACCTCGTCTTCCAGAACCACCTGGTTGATGGGCCGCCGCAGGAAAGTGGGACGCTCTGGGGGGGGGGGGCGGTGTCGAGGACAGGATGGTTATGTACTGTATTGCAGGACACGCACAGAGAAAGAGGCATGACCCTCACGTGGCAGTCCAGTACATTCCCCAGTACAAATAAACCAGTTTAAAAGTGAAATATTTGCTTTGGTAGTGATATAATGGAGACCACATGCAAACATTTTGGTGTGACACTGACAAGGGCATAGGGAGTTCAGACCCAATCCCCATAATTTCAATTGCTTTGCGTTGTCTACAAACCAACGGTGTCCATCATGTGAGTGGCTAGATCCAAGCGTGGAGGAGGGGTCTCACAGCTGGGAGAGGGGGGTGGGGTGGGCGATGCCAACCCAGGGAGGGGGGTTGTTTCTCTGTAAATTACTGGAAATTTTGCATGATTGTCCCTTGGTAAATTTGACAATTTTGCAGTGGATTTTCCTGCGCTTTGGTAGGGATATCCTTTGATATTTCACATTGCTATTCATCAGGTGATGACATTTACTACTGATGAACATGAGTGCCATTTCACAGCTTTTGGGACCAGCTGATAAGGTCTACTGGTTCGAATTGTAATTTCCTATGGAATATAGCACTGGGAGAAAGGTGTAGGAAGCAAGGATAATATACCACTAATATAGTGACAGCAAAAGCACAGGGCATTTACAAGTCTGTATAAGCAGGAGAGTCAGAGGAGTCGGTGCCCCCAGCAGTGACTGGGCAGTGCGTGGGACGGGGCCCCCATGTGGCCAGGAGGCATAGCCAAGGCATGGGTGGCAGCTTACTGTCTGCACAGAGACCTCCTCTAATCTGAGGTCATCTTCTGCCCCCAGCCCAGATGGGAAGCTTGTCCAGTCTGACAAAACAAGTGTACGTTTCTGAATAAACCCATTGTGAGAAAATGATGGTAATTATCTGCAATTTTCCGATGCCAAAGACGCAGGCTCACTTTCTGTATGCAGTGAGTGTGCCTGGTGTTTGTAATGTAAGCTAAACTCCACAACAAAGCCAAGTAAGTATAATTTAAAGAGCAGCTAAAACGTGGGTTAAACCAACAGTCACTCTCCGGAGACAGGTGACAGTCCTGGGCTTTCTGAAGCACTGCGGGGGAAAATCTGTCACTCTCTGTTAACCACCCACTCATTCCATTTTAGCCAGCGTCAGCAAGGCTGGAAGCCACAAGTCGTCATCCTTACAACCCAAAGCCATACTTCTGAGACCCACCCAACAAGCTTACCGAAAACAGTGAGTTGGGCTGTCTCGCTGTCCCTCTCGCCCACCATGTTGGTGCCCACGCAGATGTACATGCCAGCATCGCTCTTCCTTGTGTTGGAGATCATGAGCTTCCCTCCCCGGATCTGAGGGACACACACCCATTAGCTACACGTAGCTCCATAAGGCAGCAGGAGGTTCTGGTTGGGGGTGGGGAGGGGCAGTCTGCCCCTCAAAGATTCCAGAATAAACCATGACAGGTTAACTGCTTTGGCGCTCTTGGGTATATTAACAGGAATCGCTTCAGTTCACAACCACTCCAGCTGCAGAGGTGGACAAAAGGCTCAGACTGAGAGCCATGTACGGATTTAGATCAGGGGTTCTCAAAGTCTGGACCGAACTGCAAGTTAGAGATGGTCGATAATGCACATTATGAATCAATATGGTTTATTTAAAAAGGCTTGATGATTTGAAGTACAATACAAAATGCAGAACCACCAAACTTTGCACACAAAACTTGTCATAATTGCTCCCCCAATGACAGAGAGTCAAAATGATCAGTGAGCTGTAAACTAGCCTTTATTTTAAGTTCCCATTATTGCTATGTATTGATGTGTATATGAACACTGTTAATTCAGTAACATTCCTGAAATGCTGTTTTGTTTATGAAAATTATTCTGGACCTCTGACTTTGAACAAAAATCTCATGTGGATGAAAAAGTCTGAGCAGCCCTAATCTAGAGGATGACTATGTAAGCAAGAGAAAGTCAATAATAATGTTATGGAAAACTGCTGTTTTTATCTCCCAGTCTCCTATAGCCCTCAGAAGAGGAAGGGGATCACCCACCGTTATCCTGTCGTCTCTGTCGTCAATCCGCACCTTGTCCTTCTTCCAGTAGATGGTGGGTTCGGGGTGCCCCCTGGGGGGCTGGCACTCCAAGATGGCAGGCTCACCGGCCCCCACCACCACATCAGTGGGATTCTGCCTGAAATCATCTCGCAGCACTGAGATACAGAGAGTAAGAGAGAGAGAGGAACACAGGGACCATCAGGAGATCTTCAGCACACAGCCCATAATAATACACTTTATGTTATTGCTGAGTGTGATGATACCACTTATGCTTTTTAAATTCTAGTGAATTTGCCTCTAGAATTACTTTAATAAAACCGACAAAATGACCAGAATTATGTGGGATGTGGGATGGGAATATGTTAATGGCTCATTCTCACACCATGTACTACCGGGGTGTCACAGGTGAACAAAAATTAATGGCAATAAGAACCTTAATGTTAATGGGAAAAAGTGGCCCTGAGAGAAGAGTGAGCCGGGATGGTCGGGAAAGGGACCCTGTAGCTCTCTGAGAGCGGGACAAGGAGAGCGGGCCGGGATGGTCGGGGAAGGGACCCTGTAGCTCTCTGAGAGCGGGACAAGGCCAGCGTGGAGTGAGCGTTCAAGGAAGCCAGGCACTATGGGGAAGAGGAAGGGGCCGGTGGGTGGTGATCAGCCAATGAGGACGCGCTTATGGATTATGGCGAGGCTGCCCACATTCCAGGGCAACAGGGACGTGGGGCCTCTTGGCCTGGCCGCATGAAAGAGGAAAGTAAAGGGCATTTGAGGAGTGATAAATTAGGCCTGCCGCCCAGCTCTCAGCACAAACTCACGGCAGTGTAACGAGCAGGATTATACCAGGCTAACAGGTCCCAGAACGCTGCCACGGCAGGGTCCGCGCTTATTTATTTATTTGTAGAATGGGGAAGGGAGGGGGCTGTCTTGGGGGAGGGGTGCTGGCACTTTCAGCCCAATTATCTTACGGGCAGAGCAGCACATAGCAGGACACCGTGTGACATGAATTCCAATGAAAGCCACGCACCAGGAAGTGCATCTGTGCACAAAGACCACCGCCCTCTCTCCCCGTCTCTCTCTCTCTCCCTTTCTCCCTCCCTCTGTCGCTCTCTCTCTCTCTCCCTTTCTCTCTCCCACATACATTCCAGGGAAATAATCAGGTCAGTGAAGCACCTCGTCCACAGTCGTCTGTGTTTTGATGCAAAGAGCAAGAAAAAAAATCAGACACCTGCCAAGATCAGGATGCACAACACTGCAAATAGGGGAGGGACGGGGGGGGGAATCGCAGCCGCTTACCACAGGTTGACAGCAATTAGATCTGAGGCGATGGTCGGCATTTGATTGGGAGACACGTGATTATTCCGGTTCGCATTTACTCTAATTGCTTCACTTGGTTACATCTAACTGTGTGCACTTGGACCGTTTATGAAAAAGCGACACATGAAAGAGAGAGAATGCAGCAGCACAAATACGTTAATTAAGACTAAGCATGTTTAATTACAGCGGGAGGAATAGAGGACCCTGGGAAAAGGGCGAATGTTGCGTGAGGCAGGTGGCGGGCAGGGTTATGATGGGGAGACAGAGGGCATGTGGTGTGAGTGTGTGTGTGTGTGTGTGTGTGTGTGTGTGTGTGCACGCTCGCATGTTGTGTCCCTACCATTGGAGCAGACCCTTCTCGCTATGCATGTGCCACCATGGTGATGCCCAGCCGTGCTTTTGCTTGACACAGTAAACGTCACGCGGCTTGGCCATGCGGTAAAATGCACGCGCATGGCTGCACGATGGCAGCGGCACAGACATACGCACAGACGGCAGGAGCAGCCAGTGAGCAGGAGCTCCACAGGTCAGGGGTCAGCGGGGGTCCGGTCGCCCTCCGAGTCGGGCAACAGATTCCATGAGGCCAACATGTTGTTTTGGACAGATGACATGATGGAGGGGGGGGGGGGCGGTGAGGGGAAATAGGTATTGGAACTGTGACCAGGGCCCCCCAACTCCCGATCTGTCTCTGTCACAGGCCTGCACATTGTGCCCGTAGAGGGCGCCCTTGCAGGGTGTTTGTCTGTGTTACCATGTGCATATGCTAAGCATGTGAGGGCACTTTGCCCTCAGGGCCCTTAGGCGTCGAGAGGCTCAGCGAGACGACAGAGGTCAGGTAATTGCAAACCCCTCACTCTGAAATCCACAGCCCCTCGGCCTCCATGCCCACCTCCCCTGGGGGCGAGGGGGAGAGAGTGGTGCATTTTTACATTAACATTTATATATTTACACACCCATAACCTGCCAATTGCAGGGAAGGGCTACATATGTCAGTATGCCTGCAGGCTACAGAAAGCAATATCAGTACAATATTAAATTGGGGGGGGGGGGGTGTTTATTTCTTGTGGTTTAAAACAGGCTGAGTGGAAAGGTGACGCACAGTACCCCTGAACCCCCCTTCCCTACACCACCCCCCTCCCCTTAGTGAATCTGGGGCTTGGAACGGGGAGATGGAGGGGGGAGTGCTGGCCCCCTACCTGGACCTCCTCTATTCTTTCAGCAGCTAGGAGGAAATCGGAAGTTACGTTCCCCCTATGGAACGGGCTGTTCCTGCTTCCAGTGAACTCCCCAACAGAATGTGCTGTTCCTGCTCCCAGTGAGCTCCGCAATGGAATGTGCTGTTCCTACTTCCAGTGCGCTCCCCAGTAGAATGTGCTGCTCCTGCTTCTAGTGAGCTCCCCAATGGAATGTGCTGTTCCTGCTTCCAGTGAGTTCCCCAACAAAATGTGCTGTTCCTGTTTCCAGTGAGCTCCCCAATGGAATGTGCTGTTCCGGCTTCCAATGAGCTCCCCAATGGAATGTGTTGCTCCTGCTTCCAGTGAGTTCCCCAACAAAATGTGCTGTTCCTGTTTCCAGTGAGCTCCCCAACGGAATGTGCTGTTCCGGCTTCCAGTGAGCTCCCCAAATGAATGTGCTGTTCCTGATTCCAGTGAGCTCCCCGAAACTACGGCAACGGGGCGCTTCATGTTTATCTGCATGCACATTTTCCAAAGGCAGAGACATGGACATCAAACATACCCAGGAAGCAGTCAGCATTCAGATATATTAACAAGCCAGGCTGTGACATACACACACACACACACACACACACACATACACGCACAAACACACATGTTGGTGTACCTATCTAAATCGAGACCTTTCATTCATCAGATATCTGACATCAAATAGGTTGCCAGCTTGTGAATCATGCTAAACTGCACAAGTTTCAAACATTCCACTAGACAAAGGGGCCACAGCTGCACACACATGCACACATACACCCAGGCGCATACACACACACTCACAGGTTTGTAATTAAATCTTTGTGGGGACTCTCCATTCATTTCTATGGGGAAAACTCTAACCCCAACATGACAACCTTAACCCCTTCCCAGCCCTAACCTCAACCATAAGTAGCTGAACAAAATACGAGACTTTTGGCATGTTGCTTTGTGCCCAGGCGTTGGCGCTGATCCAGAAAATGCCACGCTGGCGAAGCTCGACGCCTAACGTGGAAATCCATGCTGAAACAAGTGGGCACTAGATCTCACTGGCTCCTCAGCTGCTGGCGAACAGCCAACTGAGTCTCCCCCACTTCCGCATCCCCCCCCCCAAATGCCTTTCCTTAGAGGCCCCAACCATACACACAAACCGTCTCCATCGCTACAGTGGGGTCAAAGTTCACCCTGGGGAACAGAGGAGTGGCTGACGGCATGGGGTAATACCCTTTTCCATGTGGATTAACACCATGATATCACCTAGGATCACATCTCTCAGTGGCGGTGACCTTCTTCCACCTATAGCGCCCCCCACTGGGCAGGGCACTATAACTGAGATTGCAGAGCACACAGGGCCATAGCACAAAGGCAGAAGCAACACAGCCCAGCTCTCTGTTGTCATATCAAAGCACCACTTATATCCCTGCATTATCTGCCAGAGCCCTCCCAAGGCCTGGATCTCATAAAAAATGTCAATTTGACACAAGTGGGATGCGAGCACCAGCTGTCTCTCTAAATGCCCGCACGCCACTGTGTGTCATCACCCTCTAAACTAGTCAGTGACAGTGGTGACAGCTCGTGAAGCCGGGTGCAATAACACAGCTGGGAGACGCGGGGTTGGGGGCAAGAGGAAGATGTGCAGAAGAAGTGTGTGGATATTTCCTGTGACTAATCAGATGCTCAGAGATACTGCCTTTCGAGCCCATGACTGTCTCACTGCAGGCAGGTCAAAACAAACAGCCATTAACACAGCTATCCGCATGTGAAAGTGAAGGCCCTAATTTGCTCTAACGAGTAACCCACCCCCCCACCCCCCCAACTGCCCTAATGACAGCAACCTGCATGGTCCAAGGCATCAGGCCCATTGCCATGTGCTGCACCGCTCGTCATGAAACAATATAATTAACTCTTAATGAACCTCTCTCTGCACAGTGCACTTCCCAAATTCAATTTAGCCTAATCCTCGCTTTATGGTAATGTATAGCTCATTAAAGTGTTGCTTAAAACTCATTAAAATTCGCTCGGAAGAAGTAATGCCTTCATTACAGAAATATGGTGAAAAGCAAAGAAAAAGAAGAGCAAGAAACGCCTAAAAGAGGTTGAAAGAAAGGCAGCTTTCTAATCATTTCATTGTGACTAAGATTGAATACATTAGCATGAAAATAATGGTGGCGATTGTTTCTGCAGCGTTGCGTAATTAACAAGCTCTATAATTAAAGATGCCTCCCAAAAATTATGGCAGGCTTCCTTACTCGCACGCTAACCCCACCCTTCTCGCTCAGACCCTCACCCTGTCCCCCTACTCCCACCCTCACCCTGCCCCCTTCACTCGCACCTACACCCTGATCCCTGCTCGCACCTACACCCTGATCTCTACTCACACCTACACCCTGATCCCTACTCGCACCTACACCCTGATCTCTACTCGTACCTACACCCTGCCCCCCTACTCCCACCCTCACCCTGCCCCCTTCACTCGCACCTACACCCTGATCCCTACTCGCACCTACACCCTGATCTCTACTCGCACCTACACCCTGCCCCCCTACTCCCACCCTCACCCTGCCCCCTTCACTCGCACCTACACCCTGATCCCTACTCGCACCTNACCTACACCCTGCCCCCCTACTCCCACCCTCACCCTG